GGTTGTATGTATTCCTTATATTCTGGAATAAAGATGAGCTGATTCACTGAAATCTGTCTCCATTCCTGCTCATGGGCCAAATACAAAGCTTTCTTTTAACCTTTATGCCTTTTTCCCTCTTGACCTGGTGGCCAAAAGGCCAAAGGGGGAAGGACCCCCACATATTCCCACAAGGGAAATCCACAGAACATCTGAAAGACTGAGTGAGCTATGCTAAGGGCTCCCCACCCTCCTGACCTCACTGTAATCAACTGTCCCACTGCAAAGGGCTGGGGTTCAGCTAACTACTGAGCCTCCCTTGACTCCTGTGGTAACCACATTCCACAGAGAGCTTCTATATCAAACAAATGGGTTGCCAAAGTTTTTGCTCCTTTGGAAAATTAAAACAGGAAAAAAAAATCATAAAACCAGGAATAACCTAACAGAATTGAATTTTATTTATTCCACTTAATTTGTTTGTTTCAGGTCAATTCATTTGTAGTTAGAGCACCAATGAATACCTCAGGGAAAAAAGAAAAGTAGGTAAACTGAAAGAGAAAGACGCAGTGGATAAAAGTTCATAACTGCTATGCTGGACAGTTTTATGTCAACTTGACACAGCCTGGAGTCCTCTGAAAAGAGGGAACCTACTTTAAGAAAATGCCTCCATAAGATGGGGCTGTGGGCAAGTCTGTAGGGCATTTTTTTTTAATTAGTGATTGATGGAGGAGGGCCCATCCCATTGCAGGTGGAACAATCCTGGTGGAAGAGTGTACCGGGGTCCATAAGAAAGCAAGCTGAGAAAGCTGTGATGTGCAAGACAGTAACCATGTCTCCTCCACAGCCTCTGCATCAGCCCCTGGTCCAGGTTCCTGTCTGTTTGAGTTCCTACCCTATCCAGACATCCTTCAGTGATGGACAATGGTGTGGAATGCTAAATAAACCCTTTCCTCCCCAGCTTGTTTTGTCACCGTGTTTCATCACAGCAATAGAAACCCAAACTAAGACACCTGTTAATACAACACATGATCTTTACACCTTACCTCAAAGGACTCATACTGCTCACGATCCACGGGACCAGTGCAAAACAGGTTTCCAGTATCTCTTTCCACATAAAACAAGTTTAGAGGTTCTCTATCAACTCCTGGGCCTCTGATGGAATAGTATATGGTGTAGTTTTGAGCTGTATCAGATTGGATCTAGAGAGTAGATATTATAAGCATGAGACAGATCTTTATTTCAGCAGAACTTGCATGAGTATTTTTATGCTGCTACACTGCCAGTTACTAGAGTAAACAATAGTCTCCTCTCTTATTCAGTATTAGAAAAATGTAGCAACAGAATAAGGAATCATGACTGAAAAATTTCAAATACAAGATACTTGCAAAATCCTATAGCAGAATCCTACTTTTCAAATCAAGGAATATTGTGAAGACTGAACATTATATACATGAATCAAACACTTCAGTCTTCTCTGGGTTAGAAAATATAGCAATACAAGTGTGAATGATTATCTATTGACATGCTATTTAAGTCCAGAGATTAACTTGCAATTGGCAAAGTATTTTAAAAAACTGTTCTCCTCAGCTATGTTAGCATATGCCTGTAGCTGCAGCATGGGGAAAGTAGAGAAGGCAGAACTAGGAGAAAAGTAACCCAAGGCTACAGAACAAGACCTGTCTAAGTGGATAAGACAGACTCTGAAAGACAAACATAACATTTTCTCTTGTTTATAAATCTATATTTGTGTGTATGTATATATGTATATATATATATATATATATTTATTTATGTGTATGTATGTGTGTAAAGGTACACTAACCATATATATATGTATATACATTTAAAATATGCATAACCATTTATGTATGACATAAAGCAGAAGGGGGGCTGGAGGAAGAAAGGAGACTGGTAGGAGAGGAAAGAGAGAAAGAAGTGAGTGGATTATGGTAAAAATACACATATGCTTGAAAGGACCCGTCTTTGTGAAGCTTAACGGCGAATGAAATGAATACAAACTGAGCTCCATGGTGACACCGTGCCTCAGACTGGGAGTAAGGGAAGCTCCCTGCTCTTGCAGAAAACCTGTTTGATTTCCTGCTCCTACAGCTATCTATAACTCGAGTTCCAGGGGATCTGATGCCCTTTTCTGCACCTCCCCACAGGACTACATGAGAGTGATTAAAATAAATGCACATAGGCACACACAGACACAGACCTAAAACAAATCCTGTTTGAAAAGAAACTGACTTGGTAGATGGGGACTTGTAGGGAAGATAAAAAGAAGCAACAGGCTAGTGAGGGAATGAATATGAGCAAAGTACAAAGAAAGAAGTAAATGATGTAATGGTGAACTCACTGTGTGCACTCATCTACAACCTAATTTCCAAAACTAGGAGGAAGGGAAGAAACAGGCTTGGAAATAATCACAACAAAGCCTGTCTTTCTCCTTCAGGTCTGCAATTTTAATCTTTATGGAGGCATACATTTTTAGATTTTATAGGCTGTGCCCAGCCTATGTGAAATACTTGTTGACTGGGGGGAGGAGGAATTAAAGAAACATGCTTTAGAATACTAGGTGAACTTTACAGTTCCTAAAGATTACTTTTGCATGACTAAAGCTGAAAAATGTATACTCATCTGTTAAGAAATACTTACACATATATGTTGAAACATGATACTCAAACCTTCCATTCCATGCAACTATTTTACATCTTTTTTAATTACTAAGGATTCAACCAAGGTCTTGAGCATGACAGGCAAGCATTCTGAGATACATATTCAGCCCTCACACCACTATTTTTAAATAGCTATTAATTATTGTTTTGAAAATGGGTATGACAAATCTTAGCAGCCAAAGTAAACTATACCTGCTGAAGAAACAATGGGAAGGGACCCAAAGAATTCTCTAGCATGGAACAGGGGATAGGAGCCCATCTTCTCTTGGCACGACTGAGGACTTTCTCTGTGTGCAGTTTTTTATTTAGTACCTGGATTTAGAAGACAAGAAAGATAAACCTTAATTGTTAAAGTCAATGAAGATTTCATCTCCAGACATTAGACCTGACACATTTGTCTCTTCTCATGAAGATTGGCTAGGGAGGTGTAAACCCATGGTAGTGCTTCAACACCAAACTAATCTTCACTACTGTAGAAACAATAATGATAATGACAAAGAATATGACTTGTTGATGTTGTTGTTGTTATGCCAACCAACCTCTTGAGAAAATACTTTGATAGAAATATGGAAGAAAGATAGATGGGCTAGAGGAGTACATGCAACACTGAAAAGCAAATTCCTGCTGCCACATTGCCATGCAAGAACACAAGAGGATGAAGATGCAATGAGAATAACTGGGATAGCATCACTCCCATAGTTACCATAAGCACAGTCCACTCACCAGCAGCTAGACAGAGCCAGGGGACCAACAGAGATCTGTCAGAACGAAGAGAGAAATGTGGTGACAGTGCTCAAACTTCATTGAAGAATGGCCAGAGACTGAGGAGAGATTGTCTTTGGTGTCACAATCAATAGGCACATCCATGGTCCAAACCTCCTCCCTTGTTATCTGTCTTCTAAGACTACAAGCCATGCTAATGGCACAGGATCGTAAGATGTTAAAAGTGAGGCAAAGCAGGAAAGCTGTAGCTGTGTCCAGGAGTCTGAGACTCCTGATAGTCAGATCCCTCTGAGGTTAAGCACCTCAAAGCCACAGTTAGATTGTTCCTGCTGTATTAGAAACTAAGGCACAAGAGCATTCTCCCATGCATATGCCCTAACACCAGGTCTCCATTCTCCAAGGCCTGACATGTCATTTTATTACTTGCATTGTAGCTTGATCCCCACACACACACACACATACACACACATACCCACACACTCCATTTGCGGGCTTTTCTAGAGGATCACGGAAAGAAAACCCCCCAAAATCAATGTGGTCCATCATAACTTGACACCAAAAAAGGGTCACCTTTACCCTAAAATGTGCTACCCATCTTATGAATATTCACAAACTTCTTTAAGATCCACAACACAGAATTCACTGGGCTGATGACTGCCTTGGGCAGCACAAGCCAATCTCTCTGTGGGGTGTTTGTTTGCTTGCCTTGGATTGGCTAAATAAACATCTGCTTAAACTATCTATGTTTTGACTGAATTCTTTTCTTCCAAAAGACAAGACCCAGAGACCCCTTTAACAATAATATACGTGAGGGAAAAAGCTTTAATCAAGAGGTAGAATTTCCAAATTTGTTTTTGGAAATTCATTCCAAAAATTAAAAAGTGTCTCTTGTGTCCTATCTCAAGTTCTCAATGTAGCTTATCCCAAATGAGAGGGATGACAAGTTGTAATGACATGCATTGCACAACCAAGCCTCCCGCCTTCACTACACACTGTTGACCCACAGTCTTCATTCTTCTCTGTTGACCCACAGTTTTCATTCTTCTCCCACCCAAACCACCCAACTCTTCTGCAGTTTCAGGTCTTCCTTGGTGGTGTTAGTTAACCCCAAAGAGACTGCATCATTACACTTCCTGCATATCATCTCACTTACCTCTACTGGACCCTCTAAATGGACAGATAGCTGCCTTTCTTCTTGGCTGTCTGAGTTGAAAAGCCATATAGTAAAGCTTCTTTGGCCCGAGGACAAAACAACAGAATTGGTTGTGAACACAGAACCATCTTCTAAGACTTGGAAATCAGGATCACTCGGATGAATGAGATTTGCAGATTTAAGGCAGTCCTTGAGGTTCACTAAGGAAATAAACACAGCAGTCACTTCAGCAACATAGAGTTCAAAAGTACATACAGTATGCCTGTGGGGAGTGGGGGGACAAAACACTTCAACCACATTCCCAATGGAATATATAGTATTTTTAAATCATATATGAAACTATATGGTTCAGGTCCTCCCTAAACACAAATATTGCTTCTAATGCTTGTTTTACACCTGTTAAAAGAGATATTTCTCCTGAAACAAAGGCATGTGAGCTACAGTATCTGAACATTTGACACAACACTAAAAAAGTTTTTTTTTTTTTTAACTACAACTAGCTATTGGAGATTACAGTTATTAAATTGAAATACTACTTAAGTCTCCATTAAATGCAAAATGGTTAACATATTATGGCCACATTGGGTTGATTTCTTCTTCCCTATACAACTAAGTCTTATAAAGAATTGACAGGCCAGTAAATATAAGGGAGGGAGTAAATCTGTTGCCCTATGTTAGTACAAATGCACATATGCACACACTTACTTAATAAATTAAATAAAATAAAGAATTTATTGATGAAAACAAGTACATGGGGCTAAAGATATAGCTCAGAGCAGATTGTTTGCTCAGCATGTGTAATGGCCTGGGTTTGATGCCCAGTACACATAAATAAGTAAATAAGTAAATAAATAAATAATGAGATGGAAGAAAAATGCAGTAAGATATCAAAACATTTCCTGATGAAAATCCAAACACAATATCATCAAACTCAAGAAGTAATTTCAATATTATTTCTCAAATTCTTAGAAACATATTTAGCGTATAAAATATCTTCCAGGCAATATAAATGTCAAAAAAATATGTTATTATTTAAACTTAACTTTTTATCTTCTTTGGGTAAACATATTTTTCAATAAAGATATGATATAACATGTGTTAAAAATGACTGCACTGTTCACTTTTAACTATAAATCATAAATCCTTCATGGTCCTAAACGTCACAGTAACTTTTAACAAAGCACACCATATTAGGATTTATCGCACACTGCAGCTGCTCTTTACCTCGGCCAACAAATTTCTCAGCAGGTAGTTCAGAGGGGACCTGAAGGACCACTTCTTTACATGCATCACAGGCAAGTGCAAGGATCTAGAACAAACAAATTAGTGTCACACACTCACAGGACTAATGAATGGAGTTCACCTAAGTCTCAATTACATAGCAATATCCATTTAATTACATAAAAGAAACATTAAGTACTTAAATATATATGTATAGTTATACAAAATTTATTTGACTTAACAAAATACGGACTATGTACTAGAGTAAGAAACCAGAAATATACAAAGTAGATGGATCAAAGGGTAACACTTCCCCATGGCTCCTTCTTTACAAGGCACTTTATAAACTCTGGGAACCACATTCTTTTTCAGGACTGTTTTTGATTTGTAAAATGAATTTACTAGCGTCTTCCCTGACTGGGACAGCAGAGTGAGGATCCAGCAGCAACATGTGTAAGACTGTACCAAACACATATAGGAAAGAGAAAAACATAAATTCACCATCCCATCACACTGTTTCCATAAACGTTCACTATCCCAGGAGCTACAGAGCCTAAGTAAGAAACTGCTGAACCAAACCTGAGCACCATTACTGAAAGGCACTGTAGGCTCCCAGGAAGGGGTGGGCAAGATCTAGGTATGAGTTTATACAAACTGTGACCTTATTCTGAAGACACACCTTCTCACTGACAGCTAAGGCCTTTGTAGAAAACACTTGCCTTCACTTTAAATGATTTAGTGATCTTTGGGGAGCCAATTTCAATTGATCATGCATATGAAAACCCAAATTTGATTCTGTTGGGGGTGCTTCTGAGCGATGTATGCTCCACTTTCTTCAGTTCACCAAATGATTGCCCAAAGCAAGGAAACCAACCAGCACCATGCTGCTAAGTATGATGTCCTTTATCATAAACTAAAATCAGCTATGTTTGAATGAAAATTCTCATTTTAATATATCTTAAACCTGTAGTTATCCAATTTAAACTATATAGGAGAGATCAAACAAGACCGAGATTACTTTTTATTTGCAAAATTGAAATACCCTGCCCCCCCCACAAAAAAAGACTTAAATTGAAAGTAAAAGGAGGGAATTTTCACAGGCTGCCTAGTCAGGTGAGAAGAAACACAGCCAGATGTTTTAAGGATTGTGACTCAAGGAGACTGACAAAGAATATCTCATTCACTCAACCAACACTTATCCATTCAACCAACAGTCGGGGATAAGGAGGTGCTAAGCTGAGTCACAGGCTCCAGCAGTGAGCAAAGCAAAGACCTTGCCCTCAACAGATCACTTTGCAATGCGCCAACAAACAAATAGAAAAGTGCATAAATGCCACACCCCACCAAGCCAGATAGCAATTATGGGAGAAATAAAGCAGAGAAAGATGATAGAGAAGGCTGGAGTCTACATGAACTGAGGGAAAAAGCAGTTCCATACTTAAAGAACAGTCTGGAACATATTAATTAGGATGTAAAAATGTCATGGTGAGAAGCACAGGTTTCGTTCTAAGTGCAAAAGAAAGAAATGCTGCATGGAGCTGCAGAGTGGCCTTATCTGGTGTTCACAAGCAGTCAATCAGCTGACTTCATGACAAGACCGCAGACACAAGGGAATAGGAGACAGGACAGCAACTGCAAAGGTGTAGCAGTATTCTAAGGTAGAGTCATGGTACTTGCTCTGAAGTCTTAGTGGTAGAAGTGTTGAGGGGCCCAATTAAGAATTGGCCAAGAATTGGAAACAGGACATCCATTCATTCACACATTCAACAAATTTCATTGAAAGTCTACTACATAGTAGACACCTAGCAGCAAACATGATCTGCATGAAAATTCAACCCCAAGATAAGATATACTTGTATAGAAATGCCATGGCAGAGAAGTACAGGCTGCTAGAGGAAAGCCTGGAGAGCCAGCCTCATCTAGGAACCAGATGAGATTAACTGAGGAGTGGCCATGAGTCAGTCATGATAGGAGCAGGACAGAAACCTAAATAAAAATCTATCCTATAGTTTTTGTTTCTCAACCTGTGGCTTTCATCCACTTTATGGGGGTCGAGTGACCTTTATACAGGGATCACTTAAGACAATTTGAAAACACAGATATTTATATTACAATTCATCACAGTTGCAAAAGTACAGTTACGAAGTATCAGGAA